GTAGAGCTTAAAATATGATTTTAAAAAGCAGTCATATATTTGCATGTGATTAATTATTTTAATGCCTTTTTAAACCTTTCTATTGCTTTATATAATAATTAAATAAAAGAGAGCATTTAAGGAAGTGTGTTTGTCATTCCTGTACATTGCAAAGTGCCTTTAAATTACTCGATTGATTGGTGCATTGTTTAGTCAAAATAGCCATGGAATTCTGATCTTTGATATATTATAGATTATATTCTGCTAATATACTATGAAGTGCATTTGAATGATGGCTGAAATTGTTTGTGAGTTAATCTTAATCTGCAAACTATAAACAAAAATGCAAATGCATTTTATTTTCTAAATGTGCCGTAGTCATATTACCTTCATAGGCGCGCACGAGCGGGAAATCGCCTGGATTTTAAACGGCCAGCGATGGCCGTTTACATATAAGCGGTCCGGCGTCTGTAAAGACGCCCGATCGCTTGTATGATACAAGTGAGGGTGCGCCCCCTCCTTAACTCTGGTCACCGTCGCTGTCCCCGCCGCCACTGTCCCCGCAATCTGGGCGTCCATCCGGTCCGGGTGATGTCTCTTTGTGCACTGAGAACGAAGGGAGTTCAGGACCCAATCTCCCTCCGCTCTCCTCCCGGTCTCTGAATGTAGGAAGTGATGTATCCACTTCCACATTCCTCTGTCACTCTCCGGTACAGAAACCAGAGAATAAGCTGATGAAGCAGATCTGTGCTTCATCAGTTTCTCTGGGGGTCCCTAGGTGACACTAGGGGTCTTAAAGACCCCTGATGTCTCCATAAAGGGGACCTGTCACTGTAATTTGTTATCACATAGGGTACTTCTTAGCACCCCATGTGATAACAATAAAGTTAAGTGTAAACAAAGTAAAAAGTGCTCACAAAATAAATAAAGATGTACACACACAAAACAAAAAAAGCCACAAATTTTTTTTAAAGTCCCCCACCCCCACATAGATGCGCAAAAATGCGTTAGATGCGCCTACACGCAAAAACGACGATTGCTCCAATTATGCCGCACATTTTACATATCGCCGCGAACGTCGCAATGAGAGCAATACTTTTAGGGCCATCAATCACTGATAACACTAAACTGATGAGTGGTAAAATCTTTTAAAGCGTCGCCTCTGACCAATTTTGGCTATGGTGTTTTTTTGCGATTTCGCGGGCGCGCGCAATTTTAAGGTTTAACATGTTTGGTGTCTATAATCCCGATGTGACCCCGACTTTTATATGTTAGCAAAAAATTGGGTACAAATAAATGTTTCCTAAAATAATAAAGGGAAACCCATTTGTTTTTTAAAATATTCAGTACTTTTTTTGTTATATAGTAAAAAATAAAACCCCCAGTGGTGATCAAATACCACCAAAAGAAAGCTCTATCTGTCCCCAAACAATGGTATAAAATTAATTTCAGTACAGCGTTGCATGACGGAATAAACGTCAGCCAAAGTACCGCAGCGCTGAATACTGAAAAATGGCCTGGTCAGGAAGGGGGTGTAAACACCCCGGTCAGCAAGTGGTGAAAGTGTATTTCCACTTTTGCAGTCAAAATTTGGGAAAACCCCTCCATATGTTCCTTATGTGTTCCTATTTACACAGCATGCTAAAGAATAACTTTTTTTCACAGTGGTCTGTCCCAATGGAAAGTCTTGAAATTTGTGCAAATAGAAATAGAAGCACAAAGAATTTGTTAAGTTTAGATAGATAGATAGATAGATAGATAGATAGATCCCGTGTGGCCGATCACATTGCAGCTGGAGGGCGTGGCTACGGTGCCATTCACTTCAATGGACCGCCACACCCCTCCTGCCCCACAACATAGTGAGCCGGCAGCAACGCGATGCAGTGCGTTCTGGCCAGAAACGGGCCGGAACGCACTGCATCTGGTGCAAACGATGCCTAAGGCTCATGGCAATGGACAGCTTCTCTTTTTGTTTGTCTATTAACCCTAAAAATGACCAGAATCTGCTAACAGGATTTGCCCCGAATAGACTTCAATGGAATTTGCTGCTAAGTTTAGTTTTGTGAAATTCAGACCGGACTCAACTAGCCCCTCACAAATCGAACCCTGGCAGAATGACCCATCCCTACTGATAGATATCAGCTGATTATGGAGAACGGTCACTGGAGACTTAGCTAATAAAACATGACAAGTTGTCAGTGCTTTAACACAGCTTGATATGATCTATTTCCTCATTGCCCTCTGTTATCATTTCCAGTTTTTTTTTTTTTTTATTTCAAAAGATTTTTATTTTACTTTTCATATAAACAGATTACAAGTACATTAAAACACATGTCACTTGCCGTATATCGTGAATCCTAAACGGAACATACTTAAAGAAATAAAGTTATAAGCATCAATGTGGTCCGAGAGAAGCACTAAACAGTTCCTATAATCTTCTCACCTTGGGACAGGACCACCAAATGTGAATGACCGAACCCCCCACCCGGCAACCCCTGAAACAGATTGAGATGGGATAGCTTTAGAGATCCAAAGCGGAACCAAGTACCATCTAAGGAGCAGTTTGTAATTGGCCTCAAGAGCTTGAACATTCATTGAGCTGTGCGAGGTCGTTGTCCAGATTTGCGTCCAGATGTCAGAGGCAATGGTTCACCCTAAATCCCTTTCCCACTTGGAGATGTAAGGGGGAGGGGAGGGGGGGCGGTTTGTCCAGTAGGAGGTTGTAAAGGGTAGATATAGTCCCTGAGCCATGTAGCCCGTTATGTAGTAGTCTCTCGAAAGGGGAAAGTGGGGGAATGGGTCTTACTGGCCCCAATCGGGTCAGCAAGAAATGTTTAATCTGTAGATATTGGAAAGCTTGTTTAACATTTAAGTCATGTGTAGATTGAAGTATTGGGAAAGGCACCACCCCCGTGTCTGAACAGAAATCCCCAACCAGAGTCAGGGAGCTGGAGAGCCATAACTTAAACGCAGCAGGGTTCGAGAAGCCTGGCTGGAAGAGAGGGTTGCCATGAATAGACATCAGGGGGGTGTCTGAGGACATCCATCCCAATGAGTTGCGGAGTCCATCCCAAACTTTCAGAGTGTGTTTGAGAGTTGGGTTATACAGATTCCCTCTATTTGGGGGGGGTAACCAGGGAAGGTTGAGGAGAGATATCGGGGAGCATGAGTAAGCCTCCAGAGAGACCCAAAGGGGCATTTCTGATTCCCCAAACCAGAGCACGAGAGGAGTCAGTTGGGCCGCCTGATAGTACTTCTGAAATAAGGGAAGTCCCAAACCCCCCTCCTGTTTGACCCGGTAAAGAACTGAATGTGAGACTCTAGGGAAGGAACCTTTCCAAATGAACTTTAAGATGCGGCGTTGGAGTAGCCTAAGTCGATAAGTGGGGATTGGGATCGGAAGGACCCTAGCGTGGTATAGAAATTTGGGAAGCAGGGTCATTTTAACGGCTGTGATCCTTCCGAGCCACAGTATGGAATGTTTGTCCCAAGAGGACAGTAATGATTCAAGGTGCGAGAACAGTTTCGGATAGTTTGCAGCGTACAGTTGGTCATAGGAGGAGGTGAGATATATCCCCAAGTGTGGCAACGCATGGGGCACCCAGGTGTAGTGAAATGATTGTTGTAGGGAGGCACAAAGGGAGGGAGGGAGAGAGACATTGAGGGTATGGAGGGTACCAGAACGGGAGGCAGACCTGCTAAATGTAATAAACACATAGCCCTAAGGTAAATGACTGAGGGACCTGGGGGTCATTAACAATCGACCTCTAAGGTGGTGTCAGCAGTTACAAGGAGATTCAGATAAACTAAAAAATAAAAAATAAAAGAAACATATAAAACATAAACAAGGCAAGTAGACTGGGAAGAACTTTGCGCCCCCGGTTTGATGTGCCAATATGGAACCCACACTGTGGCCATAGGATCCGTAGGGCAAGCCACCTCCAAAAGAGTCCAATAGTGAAACCACAAAACAGCAAAGGATCACAGGAACAAGGAATTCAGAAGAGACCAGGAGCTACCATAGGAGTATCCATAGGAGTCCCAGTTCAAGGGATGGTGATGGTACGGTGTGGACAATAGGCAGTCCAACAATCGGGGACCCACACCAATACGAGATGACGTGAGTAGCGTC